CAATTTGAAACTTTATTACAAATTGGTCTCAAAAAAAATTTCTTCAAATATATACTGTAATGAAATATATTTTTAATGGAATGTATAGTAATTATAAATATTCTTGTCCAACATGCAAAAGATTAAATTCTGAAAAAATTGCAACAGCAAATAGTCTGTATTTAAAGCTGATATTAATTTATAGTTTTTGTTAAAGATACATCTAAATATGTTGCACTCCTACACAGAGAAGATGGATTCATGGCATATAGGAAGAGTCAACATGTAAGTATTTGGTCATTACAATTGTACTTAAAAAACTATGTTAATATTTGGAAGTCAATAAAAATCTGTTTTCACTGAAACAATAGCTTAAAATTATATTACAAATTGGTCTAAAATATCTTTTATTCGAATTTCAAATGTGATATTTTAATAAGAATGAAAGAGTAGTTGTAAATTAAGTGTCCGTAATTTAAAATTTGACATAAAACATGAATCACATTAATTTTTTATTTTTTTCAACAGCCATTAAATATTCTCTATCTAAAGCTGATGCTAATTTATATTTTTTCTTTTGTAACAGATACGGTCCAGATATGTTCCACTCCCACACAATGAAGAAGGTTTCATGGTAGATGGCACATTAGGATGTTTAACGTGTAGGTATTTAGTCATTACAATTGTACTTTAGACTATGTTTATATGTGTTGGGTAATAAATATCAGTTTACCCTGGAACAACAGCTTAAATAAAATTTTATTTCAAATTAGTGTACATATTTCTTTTGTTCAAATTTATAATCTAGTGAAGTAAATTTTAACATGAATGCGTAGTAATTGTAAATATTCTTGTGTCCAATTTAGGATTTAACATAAAATATGAGTGACATTTATTTTATAATTGTTGCAACAGCCAATAGTCTCTATTTGAAGCTGATACTAATTGATGATTTGGTTTTGTTATAGATACAGCCTAAATATGTTACACTCCTAGACAATGAAGATGCTTTCATGGTAGATTGATCACACATCTGGATACGTAGCATGTAGGTATTTGGTATTTTTAATTGTACTTTAAAAACTATGTTTATATGGTTTGCAGGTAACAAAAATCCGTTTTCCCTGGAACAGCAGCTTAAATTAGATTTGATTACAAATTGGTTTAAAATTTCTTTTCAAATTTATACTCTTATGAAGATTATATTAATGATAATGTATAGAAATTGTTTATATACTTGTCTTCAAATTAGGATTTGTCATAAAAAATGCATCATATTAATTTTGAATTAATTGCAACAGCCAATAGTCTCTATTTGAAGTTGATACTAATTGATGATTTGGTTTTGTTATAGATACAGCCTAAATATGTTACACTCCTAGACAATGAAGATGCTTTCATGGTATATAGCACACGAAGATTCGTATCATGTAGGTATTTTGTCATTATAATTGTACTTTTAACTCTTTTTATATGTGTTGGGTAACAAAAATCAGTTTTCCCCTTGAACAACAATTTGAAATTTTATTACAAATTTGTCGAACATTTCTTTTATTCAAATATTTACTGTAATAAGTTAAGTAATTGTAAATATTCTAGACTAGTCTCCAATTTAGGATTTGGCATAAAACATGCATCACATTAATTTCTGAATTGATTGCAACAGCAAATATTCCCTATTTAAAGCTGAAACTAATTTTCAATTTTTGTTTTTATTACAGATACAGCCTAAATATGTTACACTCTTCGACAATGAATATGGTTTCATTGTAGATAGCACATTAGGATTAGTCACATGTAGGTATTTATTCATTACAATTTTTTCTTTAAACTAGGTTTATTAGCTCACCTGGCCCCTATGGTTTGGGCCAGGTGAGCTTTTCTCATCACTTGGCGTCCGTTGTCGTCGTCCGTTAATACAAAAATCTTCTCCTGAAACTACTGGGCAAAATTTAACCAAACTTGGCCACAATCATCACTAGGGTATCTAGTTTAAAAAATGTGTCAGATGACCCCGCCTGCCAACCAAGATGGCCGACTTGGCTAAAAATAGAACATAGGGGTAAAATGCAGTTTTTGGCATATATCTCTGAAACTAAAGCATTTAGAACAAATCTGATAATTGGTAAAAATGTTTATAAGGTTAAGATCTATCTGCCCTGAAATTTTCAGATGAATCAGACAAGCCGTTGTTGGGTTGCTGCCCCTGAATTAGTAATTTTAAGGAAATTTTGCAGTTTTTTTTGTTATCTTGAATATTATTATAGATAGAGATAAACTGTAAACAGCAATAATGTTCAGCAAAGGCAGATCTACAAATAAGTCAACATGACCAATATGGTCAATTGACCCCATAAGGAGTTATTGCCCTTTAAAGTCAAATTTAACAATTATTCGTAAATTTTTGTAGTCTTTTACAAAAATCTTCTCTCCTGAAACAACTGAGACAAATTTAACCAAACTTGGCCACAATCATCACTGGGGTATCTAGTTTAAAAAATGTGTCCGATGACCCTGCCTGCCAACAAACATGTCAGACATGGCTAAAAGTAGAACTTAGGGGGAAAATGCAGTTTTTGACTTGTATCTCTGAACTAAAGCAAATGTATAACGGTTGCATTATTTCATGCATCATTGTAAATAAAAATATCAGGTGAGCAACACAGGCTCCTTGAAGCCTCTAGTATTTGTTAGGCATTAAAAATCAGTTTTCACTGAAACAACAGATTGAAGCTTTATAACAAATTGGTCTAAAATTTCTTTTATTCCTATTTATATCCTAATGAAGTATATTTTAATAAGAATGTATAGTTATTGTAAATATACGTCTCCAATTTAGGATTTGACATCAAACATGCATAACATTAATTTCTGAATTGATTGCAACAGCAAATAGCTTTGATTTTGAAGCTGAAACTAATTTAAAATATTTGTTTTTGTTAACAGATACAGCCTAAATATGTAAGACTCCTATACCATGAAAGATGCTTCCATTGCAGAGAGCACATTAGGATTAGTCACATGTAAGTATTTATTCATAACAATTGTTCTTAAAACTATGTTTATATTTGTTAGGTAATAAAAATCAGTTTTTCCTGGAACAACAGCTTGAAATGTTATTACAAATTGGTCCTACATTTCATTTATTGAAATATTCACTAATGAGATATATTTTAATAAGAATGTATAGTGATTGTAAAAATTCTTGTCTCCAATTCAAGATTTGACATACATCATGCATCACATTAATTTCTGAATTGATTGCAACAGCAAATAGTCTGGATTGAAAGCTGATATAAATGTATATTTTTTTGTTTTCATTACAGATACAGCCTAAATATGTAAGACTCCTATACCATGAAAGATGCTTCCATTGCAGATGCACATTAGGATAAGTCACATGTAGGTATTTGGTCATTACAATTTTCCTTAAAACTATATTTATACTTGTTAGGTAATAAAAATCAGTTTTTGCCTGAAACAACAGATTGAAGCTTTTTAACAAATTGGTCTAAAATTTCTTTCATTCAATTTATACTCTAATGCTGAATATTTTAATAAGAATGTATAGTAATTGTAATTATATACTTTTCTCTAATTTGGGATTGAACATAAAACATGCATCACATTATTTTCTGAATTGATTGCAACAGCAAAAAGTCTGGATTTAAAGCAGAAACTAATTAATAATTTTTGTTTTTGTTACAGATTATACAGTCTAAATATGTAACACTCCTATACCATGAAAGATGCTTTCACACATTAGGATGTTGCACATGTAGGTATTTGGTCATTACAATTGTTCTTAAAACTATGTTTATGTTTGTTAGGTAATAAAAATCCGTTTTTTCCTGAACAGTTTGACAAAAAGATGCTTTATGTTAAAATGGGTCTCGTAAAAGCAGACCTCTGCAGAGAGCAAACTTCAGATTTTGATATAACATTGATGAATTTAATGGACGCTAATCTCGTAAAAGCAGATCCCCCAGCAGAGCTGATTACATAGTATGATGAAAACTTGTGTTTATGGTAAAATGTATTTAGTTTTTTGTCTGGCTCTATTTCATTATCAACCAATTTGAAACTTTATTACAAATTGGTCTCAAAAAAAATTTCTTCAAATATATACTGTAATGAAATATATTTTTAATGGAATGTATAGTAATTATAAATATTCTTGTCCAACATGCAAAAGATTAAATTCTGAAAAAATTGCAACAGCAAATAGTCTGTATTTAAAGCTGATATTAATTTATAGTTTTTGTTAAAGATACATCTAAATATGTTGCACTCCTACACAGAGAAGATGGATTCATGGCATATAGGAAGAGTCAACATGTAAGTATTTGGTCATTACAATTGTACTTAAAAAACTATGTTAATATTTGGAAGTCAATAAAAATCTGTTTTCACTGAAACAATAGCTTAAAATTATATTACAAATTGGTCTAAAATATCTTTTATTCGAATTTCAAATGTGATATTTTAATAAGAATGAAAGAGTAGTTGTAAATTAAGTGTCCGTAATTTAAAATTTGACATAAAACATGAATCACATTAATTTTTTATTTTTTTCAACAGCCATTAAATATTCTCTATCTAAAGCTGATGCTAATTTATATTTTTTCTTTTGTAACAGATACGGTCCAGATATGTTCCACTCCCACACAATGAAGATGGTTTCATGGTAGATGGCACATTAGGATGTTTAACGTGTAGGTATTTAGTCATTACAATTGTACTTTAGACTATGTTTATATGTGTTGGGTAATAAATATCAGTTTACCCTGGAACAACAGCTTAAATAAAATTTTATTTCAAATTAGTGTACATATTTCTTTTGTTCAAATTTATAATCTAGTGAAGTAAATTTTAACATGAATGCGTAGTAATTGTAAATATTCTTGTGTCCAATTTAGGATTTAACATAAAATATGAGTGACATTTATTTTATAATTGTTGCAACAGCCAATAGTCTCTATTTGAAGCTGATACTAATTGATGATTTGGTTTTGTTATAGATACAGCCTAAATATGTTACACTCCTAGACAATGAAGATGGTTTCATGGTAGATTGATCACACATCTGGATACGTAGCATGTAGGTATTTGGTATTTTTAATTGTACTTTAAAAACTATGTTTATATGGTTTGCAGGTAACAAAAATCCGTTTTCCCTGGAACAGCAGCTTAAATTAGATTTGATTACAAATTGGTTTAAAATTTCTTTTCAAATTTATACTCTTATGAAGATTATATTAATGATAATGTATAGAAATTGTTTATATACTTGTCTTCAAATTAGGATTTGTCATAAAAAATGCATCATATTAATTTTGAATTAATTGCAACAGCCAATAGTCTCTATTTGAAGTTGATACTAATTGATGATTTGGTTTTGTTATAGATACAGCCTAAATATGTTACACTCCTAGACAATGAAGATGCTTTCATGGTATATAGCACACGAAGATTCGTATCATGTAGGTATTTTGTCATTATAATTGTACTTTTAACTCTTTTTATATGTGTTGGGTAACAAAAATCAGTTTTCCCCTTGAACAACAATTTGAAATTTTATTACAAATTTGTCGAACATTTCTTTTATTCAAATATTTACTGTAATAAGTTAAGTAATTGTAAATATTCTAGACTAGTCTCCAATTTAGGATTTGGCATAAAACATGCATCACATTAATTTCTGAATTGATTGCAACAGCAAATATTCCCTATTTAAAGCTGAAACTAATTTTCAATTTTTGTTTTTATTACAGATACAGCCTAAATATGTTACACTCTTCGACAATGAATATGGTTTCATTGTAGATAGCACATTAGGATTAGTCACATGTAGGTATTTATTCATTACAATTTTTTCTTTAAACTAGGTTTATTAGCTCACCTGGCCCCTATGGTTTGGGCCAGGTGAGCTTTTCTCATCACTTGGCGTCCGTTGTCGTCGTCCGTTAATACAAAAATCTTCTCCTGAAACTACTGGGCAAAATTTAACCAAACTTGGCCACAATCATCACTAGGGTATCTAGTTTAAAAAATGTGTCCGATGACCCCGCCTGCCAACCAAGATGGCCGACTTGGCTAAAAATAGAACATAGGGGTAAAATGCAGTTTTTGGCATATATCTCTGAAACTAAAGCATTTAGAACAAATCTGATAATTGGTAAAAATGTTTATCAGGTTAAGATCTATCTGCCCTGAAATTTTCAGATGAATCAGACAAGCCGTTGTTGGGTTGCTGCCCCTGAATTAGTAATTTTAAGGAAATTTTGCAGTTTTTTTTGTTATCTTGAATATTATTATAGATAGAGATAAACTGTAAACAGCAATAATGTTCAGCAAAGGCAGATCTACAAATAAGTCAACATGACCAATATGGTCAATTGACCCCATAAGGAGTTATTGCCCTTTAAAGTCAAATTTAACAATTATTCGTAAATTTTTGTAGTCTTTTACAAAAATCTTCTCTCCTGAAACAACTGAGACAAATTTAACCAAACTTGGCCACAATCATCACTGGGGTATCTAGTTTAAAAAATGTGTCCGATGACCCTGCCTGCCAACAAACATGTCAGACATGGCTAAAAGTAGAACTTAGGGGGAAAATGCAGTTTTTGACTTGTATCTCTGAACTAAAGCAAATGTATAACGGTTGCATTATTTCATGCATCATTGTAAATAAAAATATCAGGTGAGCAACACAGGCTCCTTGAAGCCTCTAGTATTTGTTAGGCATTAAAAATCAGTTTTCACTGAAACAACGGATTGAAGCTTTATAACAAATTGGTCTAAAATTTCTTTTATTCCTATTTATATCCTAATGAAGTATATTTTAATAAGAATGTATAGTTATTGTAAATATACGTCTCCAATTTAGGATTTGACATCAAACATGCATAACATTAATTTCTGAATTGATTGCAACAGCAAATAGCTTTGATTTTGAAGCTGAAACTAATTTAAAATATTTGTTTTTGTTAACAGATACAGCCTAAATATGTAAGACTCCTATACCATGAAAGATGCTTCCATTGCAGAGAGCACATTAGGATTAGTCACATGTAAGTATTTATTCATAACAATTGTTCTTAAAACTATGTTTATATTTGTTAGGTAATAAAAATCAGTTTTTCCTGGAACAACAGCTTGAAATGTTATTACAAATTGGTCCTACATTTCATTTATTGAAATATTCACTAATGAGATATATTTTAATAAGAATGTATAGTGATTGTAAAAATTCTTGTCTCCAATTCAAGATTTGACATACATCATGCATCACATTAATTTCTGAATTGATTGCAACAGCAAATAGTCTGGATTGAAAGCTGATATAAATGTATATTTTTTTGTTTTCATTACAGATACAGCCTAAATATGTAAGACTCCTATACCATGAAAGATGCTTCCATTGCAGATGCACATTAGGATAAGTCACATGTAGGTATTTGGTCATTACAATTTTCCTTAAAACTATATTTATACTTGTTAGGTAATAAAAATCAGTTTTTGCCTGAAACAACAGATTGAAGCTTTTTAACAAATTGGTCTAAAATTTCTTTCATTCAATTTATACTCTAATGCTGAATATTTTAATAAGAATGTATCGTAATTGTAATTATATACTTTTCTCTAATTTGGGATTGAACATAAAACATGCATCACATTATTTTCTGAATTGATTGCAACAGCAAAAAGTCTGGATTTAAAGCAGAAACTAATTAATAATTTTTGTTTTTGTTACAGATTATACAGTCTAAATATGTAACACTCCTATACCATGAAAGATGCTTTCACACATTAGGATGTTGCACATGTAGGTATTTGGTCATTACAATTGTTCTTAAAACTATGTTTATGTTTGTTAGGTAATAAAAATCCGTTTTTTTCCTGAACAGTTTGACAAAAAGATGCTTTATGTTAAAATGGGTCTCGTAAAAGCAGACCTCTGCAGAGAGCAAACTTCAGATTTTGATATAACATTGATGAATTTAATGGACGCTAATCTCGTAAAAGCAGATCCCCCAGCAGAGCTGATTACATAGTATGATGAAAACTTGTGTTTATGGTAAAATGTATTTAGTTTTTTGTCTGGCTCTATTTCATTATCAACCAATTTGAAACTTTATTACAAATTGGTCTCAAAAAAAATTTCTTCAAATATATACTGTAATGAAATATATTTTTAATGGAATGTATAGTAATTATAAATATTCTTGTCCAACATGCAAAAGATTAAATTCTGAAAAAATTGCAACAGCAAATAGTCTGTATTTAAAGCTGATATTAATTTATAGTTTTTGTTAAAGATACATCTAAATATGTTGCACTCCTACACAGAGAAGATGGATTCATGGCATATAGGAAGAGTCAACATGTAAGTATTTGGTCATTACAATTGTACTTAAAAAACTATGTTAATATTTGGAAGTCAATAAAAATCTGTTTTCACTGAAACAATAGCTTAAAATTATATTACAAATTGGTCTAAAATATCTTTTATTCGAATTTCAAATGTGATATTTTAATAAGAATGAAAGAGTAGTTGTAAATTAAGTGTCCGTAATTTAAAATTTGACATAAAACATGAATCACATTAATTTTTTATTTTTTTCAACAGCCATTAAATATTCTCTATCTAAAGCTGATGCTAATTTATATTTTTTCTTTTGTAACAGATACGGTCCAGATATGTTCCACTCCCACACAATGAAGATGGTTTCATGGTAGATGGCACATTAGGATGTTTAACGTGTAGGTATTTAGTCATTACAATTGTACTTTAGACTATGTTTATATGTGTTGGGTAATAAATATCAGTTTACCCTGGAACAACAGCTTAAATAAAATTTTATTTCAAATTAGTGTACATATTTCTTTTGTTCAAATTTATAATCTAGTGAAGTAAATTTTAACATGAATGCGTAGTAATTGTAAATATTCTTGTGTCCAATTTAGGATTTAACATAAAATATGAGTGACATTTATTTTATAATTGTTGCAACAGCCAATAGTCTCTATTTGAAGCTGATACTAATTGATGATTTGGTTTTGTTATAGATACAGCCTAAATATGTTACACTCCTAGACAATGAAGATGGTTTCATGGTAGATTGATCACACATCTGGATACGTAGCATGTAGGTATTTGGTATTTTTAATTGTACTTTAAAAACTATGTTTATATGGTTTGCAGGTAACAAAAATCCGTTTTCCCTGGAACAGCAGCTTAAATTAGATTTGATTACAAATTGGTTTAAAATTTCTTTTCAAATTTATACTCTTATGAAGATTATATTAATGATAATGTATAGAAATTGTTTATATACTTGTCTTCAAATTAGGATTTGTCATAAAAAATGCATCATATTAATTTTGAATTAATTGCAACAGCCAATAGTCTCTATTTGAAGTTGATACTAATTGATGATTTGGTTTTGTTATAGATACAGCCTAAATATGTTACACTCCTAGACAATGAAGATGCTTTCATGGTATATAGCACACGAAGATTCGTATCATGTAGGTATTTTGTCATTATAATTGTACTTTTAACTCTTTTTATATGTGTTGGGTAACAAAAATCAGTTTTCCCCTTGAACAACAATTTGAAATTTTATTACAAATTTGTCGAACATTTCTTTTATTCAAATATTTACTGTAATAAGTTAAGTAATTGTAAATATTCTAGACTAGTCTCCAATTTAGGATTTGGCATAAAACATGCATCACATTAATTTCTGAATTGATTGCAACAGCAAATATTCCCTATTTAAAGCTGAAACTAATTTTCAATTTTTGTTTTTATTACAGATACAGCCTAAATATGTTACACTCTTCGACAATGAATATGGTTTCATTGTAGATAGCACATTAGGATTAGTCACATGTAGGTATTTATTCATTACAATTTTTTCTTTAAACTAGGTTTATTAGCTCACCTGGCCCCTATGGTTTGGGCCAGGTGAGCTTTTCTCATCACTTGGCGTCCGTTGTCGTCGTCCGTTAATACAAAAATCTTCTCCTGAAACTACTGGGCAAAATTTAACCAAACTTGGCCACAATCATCACTAGGGTATCTAGTTTAAAAAATGTGTCCGATGACCCCGCCTGCCAACCAAGATGGCCGACTTGGCTAAAAATAGAACATAGGGGTAAATGCAGTTTTTGGCATATATCTCTGAAACTAAAGCATTTAGAACAAATCTGATAATTGGTAAAAATGTTTATCAGGTTAAGATCTATCTGCCCTGAAATTTTCAGATGAATCAGACAAGCCGTTGTTGGGTTGCTGCCCCTGAATTAGTAATTTTAAGGAAATTTTGCAGTTTTTTTTGTTATCTTGAATATTATTATAGATAGAGATAAACTGTAAACAGCAATAATGTTCAGCAAAGGCAGATCTACAAATAAGTCAACATGACCAATATGGTCAATTGACCCCATAAGGAGTTATTGCCCTTTAAAGTCAAATTTAACAATTATTCGTAAATTTTTGTAGTCTTTTACAAAAATCTTCTCTCCTGAAACAACTGAGACAAATTTAACCAAACTTGGCCACAATCATCACTGGGGTATCTAGTTTAAAAAATGTGTCCGATGACCCTGCCTGCCAACAAACATGTCAGACATGGCTAAAAGTAGAACTTAGGGGGAAAATGCAGTTTTTGACTTGTATCTCTGAACTAAAGCAAATGTATAACGGTTGCATTATTTCATGCATCATTGTAAATAAAAATATCAGGTGAGCAACACAGGCTCCTTGAAGCCTCTAGTATTTGTTAGGCATTAAAAATCAGTTTTCACTGAAACAACGGATTGAAGCTTTATAACAAATTGGTCTAAAATTTCTTTTATTCCTATTTATATCCTAATGAAGTATATTTTAATAAGAATGTATAGTTATTGTAAATATACGTCTCCAATTTAGGATTTGACATCAAACATGCATAACATTAATTTCTGAATTGATTGCAACAGCAAATAGCTTTGATTTTGAAGCTGAAACTAATTTAAAATATTTGTTTTTGTTAACAGATACAGCCTAAATATGTAAGACTCCTATACCATGAAAGATGCTTCCATTGCAGAGAGCACATTAGGATTAGTCACATGTAAGTATTTATTCATAACAATTGTTCTTAAAACTATGTTTATATTTGTTAGGTAATAAAAATCAGTTTTTCCTGGAACAACAGCTTGAAATGTTATTACAAATTGGTCCTACATTTCATTTATTGAAATATTCACTAATGAGATATATTTTAATAAGAATGTATAGTGATTGTAAAAATTCTTGTCTCCAATTCAAGATTTGACATACATCATGCATCACATTAATTTCTGAATTGATTGCAACAGCAAATAGTCTGGATTGAAAGCTGATATAAATGTATATTTTTTTGTTTTCATTACAGATACAGCCTAAATATGTAAGACTCCTATACCATGAAAGATGCTTCCATTGCAGATGCACATTAGGATAAGTCACATGTAGGTATTTGGTCATTACAATTTTCCTTAAAACTATATTTATACTTGTTAGGTAATAAAAATCAGTTTTTGCCTGAAACAACAGATTGAAGCTTTTTAACAAATTGGTCTAAAATTTCTTTCATTCAATTTATACTCTAATGCTGAATATTTTAATAAGAATGTATCGTAATTGTAATTATATACTTTTCTCTAATTTGGGATTGAACATAAAACATGCATCACATTATTTTCTGAATTGATTGCAACAGCAAAAAGTCTGGATTTAAAGCAGAAACTAATTAATAATTTTTGTTTTTGTTACAGATTATACAGTCTAAATATGTAACACTCCTATACCATGAAAGATGCTTTCACACATTAGGATGTTGCACATGTAGGTATTTGGTCATTACAATTGTTCTTAAAACTATGTTTATGTTTGTTAGGTAATAAAAATCCGTTTTTTTCCTGAACAGTTTGACAAAAAGATGCTTTATGTTAAAATGGGTCTCGTAAAAGCAGACCTCTGCAGAGAGCAAACTTCAGATTTTGATATAACATTGATGAATTTAATGGACGCTAATCTCGTAAAAGCAGATCCCCCAGCAGAGCTGATTACATAGTATGATGAAAACTTGTGTTTATGGTAAAATGTATTTAGTTTTTTGTCTGGCTCTATTTCATTATCAACCAATTTGAAACTTTATTACAAATTGGTCTCAAAAAAAATTTCTTCAAATATATACTGTAATGAAATATATTTTTAATGGAATGTATAGTAATTATAAATATTCTTGTCCAACATGCAAAAGATTAAATTCTGAAAAAATTGCAACAGCAAATAGTCTGTATTTAAAGCTGATATTAATTTATAGTTTTTGTTAAAGATACATCTAAATATGTTGCACTCCTACACAGAGAAGATGGATTCATGGCATATAGGAAGAGTCAACATGTAAGTATTTGGTCATTACAATTGTACTTAAAAAACTATGTTAATATTTGGAAGTCAATAAAAATCTGTTTTCACTGAAACAATAGCTTAAAATTATATTACAAATTGGTCTAAAATATCTTTTATTCGAATTTCAAATGTGATATTTTAATAAGAATGAAAGAGTAGTTGTAAATTAAGTGTCCGTAATTTAAAATTTGACATAAAACATGAATCACATTAATTTTTTATTTTTTTCAACAGCCATTAAATATTCTCTATCTAAAGCTGATGCTAATTTATATTTTTTCTTTTGTAACAGATACGGTCCAGATATGTTCCACTCCCACACAATGAAGATGGTTTCATGGTAGATGGCACATTAGGATGTTTAACGTGTAGGTATTTAGTCATTACAATTGTACTTTAGACTATGTTTATATGTGTTGGGTAATAAATATCAGTTTACCCTGGAACAACAGCTTAAATAAAATTTTATTTCAAATTAGTGTACATATTTCTTTTGTTCAAATTTATAATCTAGTGAAGTAAATTTTAACATGAATGCGTAGTAATTGTAAATATTCTTGTGTCCAATTTAGGATTTAACATAAAATATGAGTGACATTTATTTTATAATTGTTGCAACAGCCAATAGTCTCTATTTGAAGCTGATACTAATTGATGATTTGGTTTTGTTATAGATACAGCCTAAATATGTTACACTCCTAGACAATGAAGATGGTTTCATGGTAGATTGATCACACATCTGGATACGTAGCATGTAGGTATTTGGTATTTTTAATTGTACTTTAAAAACTATGTTTATATGGTTTGCAGGTAACAAAAATCCGTTTTCCCTGGAACAGCAGCTTAAATTAGATTTGATTACAAATTGGTTTAAAATTTCTTTTCAAATTTATACTCTTATGAAGATTATATTAATGATAATGTATAGAAATTGTTTATATACTTGTCTTCAAATTAGGATTTGTCATAAAAAATGCATCATATTAATTTTGAATTAATTGCAACAGCCAATAGTCTCTATTTGAAGTTGATACTAATTGATGATTTGGTTTTGTTATAGATACAGCCTAAATATGTTACACTCCTAGACAATGAAGATGCTTTCATGGTATATAGCACACGAAGATTCGTATCATGTAGGTATTTTGTCATTATAATTGTACTTTTAACTCTTTTTATATGTGTTGGGTAACAAAAATCAGTTTTCCCCTTGAACAACAATTTGAAATTTTATTACAAATTTGTCGAACATTTCTTTTATTCAAATATTTACTGTAATAAGTTAAGTAATTGTAAATATTCTAGACTAGTCTCCAATTTAGGATTTGGCATAAAACATGCATCACATTAATTTCTGAATTGATTGCAACAGCAAATATTCCCTATTTAAAGCTGAAACTAATTTTCAATTTTTGTTTTTATTACAGATACAGCCTAAATATGTTACACTCTTCGACAATGAATATGGTTTCATTGTAGATAGCACATTAGGATTAGTCACATGTAGGTATTTATTCATTACAATTTTTTCTTTAAACTAGGTTTATTAGCTCACCTGGCCCCTATGGTTTGGGCCAGGTGAGCTTTTCTCATCACTTGGCGTCCGTTGTCGTCGTCCGTTAATACAAAAATCTTCTCCTGAAACTACTGGGCAAAATTTAACCAAACTTGGCCACAATCATCACTAGGGTATCTAGTTTAAAAAATGTGTCCGATGACCCCGCCTGCCAACCAAGATGGCCGACTTGGCTAAAAATAGAACATAGGGGTAAAATGCAGTTTTTGGCATATATCTCTGAAACTAAAGCATTTAGAACAAATCTGATAATTGGTAAAAATGTTTATCAGGTTAAGATCTATCTGCCCTGAAATTTTCAGATGAATCAGACAAGCCGTTGTTGGGTTGCTGCCCCTGAATTAGTAATTTTAAGGAAATTTTGCAGTTTTTTTTGTTATCTTGAATATTATTATAGATAGAGATAAACTGTAAACAGCAATAATGTTCAGCAAAGGCAGATCTACAAATAAGTCAACATGACCAATATGGTCAATTGACCCCATAAGGAGTTATTGCCCTTTAAAGTCAAATTTAACAATTATTCGTAAATTTTTGTAGTCTTTTACAAAAATCTTCTCTCCTGAAACAACTGAGACAAATTTAACCAAACTTGGCCACAATCATCACTGGGGTATCTAGTTTAAAAAATGTGTCCGATGACCCTGCCTGCCAACAAACATGTCAGACATGGCTAAAAGTAGAACTTAGGGGGAAAATGCAGTTTTTGACTTGTATCTCTGAACTAAAGCAAATGTATAACGGTTGCATTATTTCATGCATCATTGTAAATAAAAATATCAGGTGAGCAACACAGGCTCCTTGAAGCCTCTAGTATTTGTTAGGCATTAAAAATCAGTTTTCACTGAAACAACGGATTGAAGCTTTATAACAAATTGGTCTAAAATTTCTTTTATTCCTATTTATATCCTAATGAAGTATATTTTAATAAGAATGTATAGTTATTGTAAATATACGTCTCCAATTTAGGATTTGACATCAAACATGCATAACATTAATTTCTGAATTGATTGCAACAGCAAATAGCTTTGATTTTGAAGCTGAAACTAATTTAAAATATTTGTTTTTGTTAACAGATACAGCCTAAATATGTAAGACTCCTATACCATGAAAGATGCTTCCATTGCAGAGAGCACATTAGGATTAGTCACATGTAAGTATTTATTCATAACAATTGTTCTTAAAACTATGTTTATATTTGTTAGGTAATAAAAATCAGTTTTTCCTGGAACAACAGCTTGAAATGTTATTACAAATTGGTCCTACATTTCATTTATTGAAATATTCACTAATGAGATATATTTTAATAAGAATGTATAGTGATTGTAAAAATTCTTGTCTCCAATTCAAGATTTGACATACATCATGCATCACATTAATTTCTGAATTGATTGCAACAGCAAATAGTCTGGATTGAAAGCTGATATAAATGTATATTTTTTTGTTTTCATTACAGATACAGCCTAAATATGTAAGACTCCTATACCATGAAAGATGCTTCCATTGCAGATGCACATTAGGATAAGTCACATGTAGGTATTTGGTCATTACAATTTTCCTTAAAACTATATTTATACTTGTTAGGTAATAAAAATCAGTTTTTGCCTGAAACAACAGATTGAAGCTTTTTAACAAATTGGTCTAAAATTTCTTTCATTCAATTTATACTCTAATGCTGAATATTTTAATAAGAATGTATCGTAATTGTAATTATATACTTTTCTCTAATTTGGGATTGAACATAAAACATGCATCACATTATTTTCTGAATTGATTGCAACAGCAAAAAGTCTGGATTTAAAGCAGAAACTAATTAATAATTTTTGTTTTTGTTACAGATTATACAGTCTAAATATGTAACACTCCTATACCATGAAAGATGCTTTCACACATTAGGATGTTGCACATGTAGGTATTTGGTCATTACAATTGTTCTTAAAACTATGTTTATGTTTGTTAGGTAATAAAAATCCGTTTTTTTCCTGAACAGTTTGACAAAAAGATGCTTTATGTTAAAATGGGTCTCGTAAAAGCAGACCTCTGCAGAGAGCAAACTTCAGATTTTGATATAACATTGATGAATTTAATGGACGCTAATCTCGTAAAAGCAGATCCCCCAGCAGAGCTGATTACATAGTATGATGAAAACTTGTGTTTATGGTAAAATGTATTTAGTTTTTTGTCTGGCTCTATTTCATTATCAACCAATTTGAAACTTTATTACAAATTGGTCTCAAAAAAAATTTCTTCAAATATATACTGTAATGAAATATATTTTTAATGGAATGTATAGTAATTATAAATATTCTTGTCCAACATGCAAAAGATTAAATTCTGAAAAAATTGCAACAGCAAATAGTCTGTATTTAAAGCTGATATTAATTTATAGTTTTTGTTAAAGATACATCTAAATATGTTGCACTCCTACACAGAGAAGATGGATTCATGGCATATAGGAAGAGTCAACATGTAAGTATTTGGTCATTACAATTGTACTTAAAAAACTATGTTAATATTTGGAAGTCAATAAAAATCTGTTTTCACTGAAACAATAGCTTAAAATTATATTACAAATTGGTCTAAAATATCTTTTATTCGAATTTCAAATGTGATATTTTAATAAGAATGAAAGAGTAGTTGTAAATTAAGTGTCCGTAATTTAAAATTTGACATAAAACATGAATCACATTAATTTTTTATTTTTTTCAACAGCCATTAAATATTCTCTATCTAAAGCTGATGCTAATTTATATTTTTTCTTTTGTAACAGATACGGTCCAGATATGTTCCACTCCCACACAATGAAGATGGTTTCATGGTAGATGGCACATCAGGATGTTTAACGTGTAGGTATTTAGTCATTACAATTGTACTTTAGACTATGTTTATATGTGTTGGGTAATAAATATCAGTTTACCCTGGAACAACAGCTTAAATAAAATTTTATTTCAAATTAGTGTACATATTTCTTTTGTTCAAATTTATAATCTAGTGAAGTAAATTTTAACATGAATGCGTAGTAATTGTAAATATTCTTGTGTCCAATTTAGGATTTAACATAAAATATGAGTGACATTTATTTTATAATTGTTGCAACAGCCAATAGTCTCTATTTGAAGCTGATACTAATTGATGATTTGGTTTTGTTATAGATACAGCCTAAATATGTTACACTCCTAGACAATGAAGATGGTTTCATGGTAGATTGATCACACATCTGGATACATAGCATGTAGGTATTTGGTATTTTTAATTGTACTTTAAAAACTATGTTTATATGGTTTGCCGGTAACAAAAATCTGTTTTCCCTGGAACAGCAGCTTAAATTAGATTTGATTACAAATTGGTTTAAAATTTCTTTTCAAATTTATACTCTTATGAAGATTATATTAATGATAATGTATAGAAATTGTTTATATACTTGTCTTCAAATTAGGATTTGTCATAAAAAATGCATCATATTAATTTTGAATTAATTGCAACAGCCAATAGTCTCTATTTGAAGTTGATACTAATTGATGATTTGGTTTTGTTATAGATACAGCCTAAATATGTTACACTCCTAGACAATGAAGATGCTTTCATGGTATATAGCACACGAAGATTCGTATCATGTAGGTATTTTGTCATTATAATTGTACTTTTAACTCTTTTTATATGTGTTGGGTAACAAAAATCAGTTTTCCCCTTGAACAACAATTTGAAATTTTATTACAAATTTGTCGAACATTTCTTTTATTCAAATATTTACTGTAATAAGTTAAGTAATTGTAAATATTCTAGACTAGTCTCCAATTTAGGATTTGGCATAAAACATGCATCACATTAATTTCTGAATTGATTGCAACAGCAAATATTCCCTATTTAAAGCTGAAACTAATTTTCAATTTTTGTTTTTATTACAGATACAGCCTAAATATGTTACACTCTTCGACAATGAATATGGTTTCATTGTAGATAGCACATTAGGATTAGTCACATGTAGGTATTTATTCATTACAATTTTTTCTTTAAACTAGGTTTATTAGCTCACCTGGCCCCTATGGTTTGGGCCAGGTGAGCTTTTCTCATCACTTGGCGTCCGTTGTCGTCGTCCGTTAATACAAAAATCTTCTCCTGAAACTACTGGGCAAAATTTAACCAAACTTGGCCACAATCATCACTAGGGTATCTAGTTTAAAAAATGTGTCCGATGACCCCGCCTGCCAACCAAGATGGCCGACTTGGCTAAAAATAGAACATAGGGGTAAAATGCAGTTTTTGGCATATATCTCTGAAACTAAAGCATTTAGAACAAATCTGATAATTGGTAAAAATGTTTATCAGGTTAAGATCTATCTGCCCTGAAATTTTCAGATGAATCAGACAAGCCGTTGTTGGGTTGCTGCCCCTGAATTAGTAATTTTAAGGAAATTTTGCAGTTTTTTTGTTATCTTGAATATTATTATAGATAGAGATAAACTGTAAACAGCAATAATGTTCAGCAAAGGCAGATCTACAAATAAGTCAACATGACCAATATGGTCAATTGACCCCATAAGGAGTTATTGCCCTTTAAAGTCAAATTTAACAATTATTCGTAAATTTTTGTAGTCTTTTACAAAAATCTTCTCTCCTGAAACAACTGAGACAAATTTAACCAAACTTGGCCACAATCATCACTGGGGTATCTAGTTTAAAAAGTGTGTCCGATGACCCTGCCTGCCAACAAACATGTCAGACATGGCTAAAAGTAGAACTTAGGGGGAAAATGCAGTTTTTGACTTGTATCTCTGAACTAAAGCAAATGTATAACGGTTGCATTATTTCATGCATCATTGTAAATAAAAATATCAGGTGAGCAACACAGGCTCCTTGAAGCCTCTAGTATTTGTTAGGCATTAAAAATCAGTTTTCACTGAAACAACGGATTGAAGCTTTATAACAAATTGGTCTAAAATTTCTTTTATTCCTATTTATATCCTAATGAAGTATATTTTAATAAGAATGTATAGTTATTGTAAATATACGTCTCCAATTTAGGATTTGACATCAAACATGCATAACATTAATTTCTGAATTGATTGCAACAGCAAATAGCTTTGATTTTGAAGCTGAAACTAATTTAAAATATTTGTTTTTGTTAACAGATACAGCCTAAATATGTAAGACTCCTATACCATGAAAGATGCTTCCATTGCAGAGAGCACATTAGGATTAGTCACATGTAAGTATTTATTCATAACAATTGTTCTTAAAACTATGTTTATATTTGTTAGGTAATAAAAATCAGTTTTTCCTGGAACAACAGCTTGAAATGTTATTACAAATTGGTCCTACATTTCATTTATTGAAATATTCACTAATGAGATATATTTTAATAAGAATGTATAGTGATTGTAAAAATTCTTGTCTCCAATTCAAGATTTGACATACATCATGCATCACATTAATTTCTGAATTGATTGCAACAGCAAATAGTCTGGATTGAAAGCTGATATAAATGTATATTTTTTTGTTTTCATTACAGATACAGCCTAAATATGTAAGACTCCTATACCATGAAAGATGCTTCCATTGCAGATGCACATTAGGATAAGTCACATGTAGGTATTTGGTCATTACAATTTTCCTTAAAACTATATTTATACTTGTTAGGTAATAAAAATCAGTTTTTGCCTGAAACAACAGATTGAAGCTTTTTAACAAATTGGTCTAAAATTTCTTTCATTCAATTTATACTCTAATGCTGAATATTTTAATAAGAATGTATAGTAATTGTAATTATATACTTTTCTCTAATTTGGGATTGAACATAAAACATGCATCACATTATTTTCTGAATTGATTGCAACAGCAAAAAGTCTGGATTTAAAGCAGAAACTAATTAATAATTTTTGTTTTTGTTACAGATTATACAGTTTAAATATGTAACACTCCTATACCATGAAAGATGCTTTCACACATTAGGATGTTGCACATGTAGGTATTTGGTCATTACAATTGTTCTTAAAACTATATTTATGTTTGTTAGGTAATAAAAATCCGTTTTTTCCTGAACAGTTTGACAAAAAGATGCTTTATGTTAAAATGGGTCTCGTAAAAGCAGACCTCTGCAGAGAGCAAACTTCAGATTTTGATATAACATTGATGAATTTAATGGACGCTAATCTCGTAAAAGCAGATCCCCCAGCAGAGCTGATTACATAGTATGATGAAAACTTGTGTTTATGGTAAAATGTATTTAGTTTTTTGTCTGGCTCTATTTCATTATCAACCAATTTGAAACTTTATTACAAATTGGTCTCAAAAAAAATTTCTTCAAATATATACTGTAATGAAATATATTTTTAATGGAATGTATAGTAATTATAAATATTCTTGTCCAACATGCAAAAGATTAAATTCTGAAAAAATTGCAACAGCAAATAGTCTGTATTTAAAGCTGATATTAATTTATAGTTTTTGTTAAAGATACATCTAAATATGTTGCACTCCTACACAGAGAAGATGGATTCATGGCATATAGGAAGAGTCAACATGTAAGTATTTGGTCATTACAATTGTACTTAAAAAACTATGTTAATATTTGGAAGTCAATAAAAATCTGTTTTCACTGAAACAATAGCTTAAAATTATATTACAAATTGGTCTAAAATATCTTTTATTCGAATTTAAAATGTGGTATATTTTAATAAGAATGAAAGAGTAGTTGTAAATTAAGTGTCCGTAATTTAAAATTTGACATAAAACATGAATCACATTAATTTTTTATTTTTTTCAACAGCCATTAAATATTCTCTATCTAAAGCTGATGCTAATTTATATTTCTTCTTTTGTAACAGATACTGTCCAGATATGTTCCACTCCCACACAATGAAGATGGTTTCATGGTAGATGGCACATTAGGATGTTTAACGTGTAGGTATTTAGTCATTACAATTGTACTTTAGACTATGTTTATATGTGTTGGGTAATAAATATCAGTTTACCCTGGAACAACAGCTTAAATAAAATTTTATTTCAAATTAGTGTACATATTTCTTTTGTTCAAATTTATAATCTAGTGAAGTAAATTTTAACATAAATGCGTAGTAATTGTAAATATTCTTGTGTCCAATTTAGGATTTAACATAAAATATGAGTGACATTTATTTTATAATTGTTGCAACAGCCAATAGTCTCTATTTGAAGCTGATACTAATTGATGATTTGGTTTTGTTATAGATACAGCCTAAATATGTTACACTCCTAGACAATGAAGATGGTTTCATGGTAGATTGATCACACATCTGGATACGTAGCATGTAGGTATTTGGTATTTTTAATTGTACTTTAAAAACTATGTTTATATGGTTTGCAGGTAACAAAAATCCGTTTTCCCTGGAACAGCAGCTTAAATTAGATTTGATTACAAATTGGTTTAAAATTTCTTTTCAAATTTATACTCTTATGAAGATTATATTAATGATAATGTATAGAAATTGTTTATATACTTGTCTTCAAATTAGGATTTGTCATAAAAAATGCATCATATTAATTTTGAATTAATTGCAACAGCCAATAGTCTCTATTTGAAGTTGATACTAATTGATGATTTGGTTTTGTTATAGATACAGCCTAAATATGTTACACTCCTAGACAATGAAGATGCTTTCATGGTATATAGCACACGAAGATTCGTATCATGTAGGTATTTTGTCATTATAATTGTACTTTTAACTCTTTTTATATGTGTTGGGTAACAAAAATCAGTTTTCCCCTTGAACAACAATTTGAAATTTTATTACAAATTTGTCGAACATTTCTTTTATTCAAATATTTACTGTAATAAGTTAAGTAATTGTAAATATTCTAGACTAGTCTCCAATTTAGGATTTGGCATAAAACATGCATCACATTAATTTCTGAATTGATTGCAACAGCAAATATTCCCTATTTAAAGCTGAAACTAATTTTCAATTTTTGTTTTTATTACAGATACAGCCTAAATATGTTACACTCTTCGACAATGAATATGGTTTCATTGTAGATAGCACATTAGGATTAGTCACATGTAGGTATTTATTCATTACAATTTTTTCTTTAAACTAGGTTTATTAGCTCACCTGGCCCCTATGGTTTGGGCCAGGTGAGCTTTTCTCATCACTTGGCGTCCGTTGTCGTCGTCCGTTAATACAAAAATCTTCTCCTGAAACTACTGGGCAAAATTTAACCAAACTTGGCCACAATCATCACTAGGGTATCTAGTTTAAAAAATGTGTCAGATGACCCCGCCTGCCAACCAAGATGGCCGACTTGGCTAAAAATAGAACATAGGGGTAAAATGCAGTTTTTGGCATATATCTCTGAAACTAAAGCATTTAGAACAAATCTGATAATTGGTAAAAATGTTTATCAGGTTAAGATCTATCTGCCCTGAAATTTTCAGATGAATCAGACAAGCCGTTGTTGGGTTGCTGCCCCTGAATTAGTAATTTTAAGGAAATTTTGCAGTTTTTTTGTTATCTTGAATATTATTATAGATAGAGATAAACTGTAAACAGCAATAATGTTCAGCAAAGGCAGATCTACAAATAAGTCAACATGACCAATATGGTCAATTGACCCCATAAGGAGTTATTGCCCTTTAAAGTCAAATTTAACAATTATTCGTAAATTTTTGTAGTCTTACAAAAATCTTCTCTCCTGAAACAACTGAGACAAATTTAACCAAACTTGGCCACAATCATCACTGGGGTATCTAGTTTAAAAAATGTGTCCGATGACTCTGCCTGCCAACAAACATGTCAGACATGGCTAAAAGTAGAACTTAGGGGGAAAATGCAGTTTTTGACTTATATCTCTGAACTGAAGCAAATGTATAAAGGTTGCATTATTTCATGCATCATTGTAAATAAAAATATCAGGTGAGCAACACAGGCTCCTTGAAGCCTCTAGTATTTGTTAGTCATTAAAAATCAGTTTTCACTGAAACAACAGATTGAAGCTTTATAACAAATTGGTCTAAAATTTCTTTTATTCCTATTTATATCCTAATGAAGTATATTTTAATAAGAATGTATAGTTATTGTAAATATACGTCTCCAATTTAGGATTTGACATCAAACATGCATAACATTAATTTTTGAATTGATTGCAACAGCAAATAGCTTTGATTTTGAAGCTGAAACTAATTTAAAATATTTGTTTTTGTTAACAGATACAGCCTAAATATGCAAGACTCCTATACCATGAAAGATGCTTCCATTGCAGAGAGCACATTAGGATTAGTCACATGTAAGTATTTATTCATAACAATTGTTCTTAAAACTATGTTTATATTTGTTAGGTAATAAAAATCAGTTTTTCCTGGAACAACAGCTTGAAATGTTATTACAAATTGGTCCTACATTTCATTTATTGAAATATTCACTAATGAGATATATTTTAATAAGAATGTATAGTGATTGTAAAAATTCTTGTCTCCAATTCAAGATTTGACATACATCATGCATCACATTAATTTCTGAATTGATTGCAACAGCAAATAGTCTGGATTGAAAGCTGATATAAATGTATATTTTTTTGTTTTCATTACAGATACAGCCTAAATATGTAAGACTCCTATACCATGAAAGATGCTTCCATTGCAGATGCACATTAGGATAAGTCACATGTAGGTATTTGGTCATTACAATTTTCCTTAAAACTATATTTATACTTGTTAGGTAATAAAAATCAGTTTTTGCCTGAAACAACAGATTGAAGCTTTTTAACAAATTGGTCTAAAATTCTTTCATTCAAATTTATACTCTAATGCTGAATATTTTAATAAGAATGTATAGTAATTGTAATTATATACTTTTCTCTAATTTGGGATTGAACATAAAACATGCATCACATTATTTTCTGAATTGATTGCAACAGCAAAAAGTCTGGATTTAAAGCAGAAACTAATTAATAATTTTTGTTTTTGTTACAGATTATACAGTCTAAATATGTAACACTCCTATACCATGAAAGATGCTTTCACACATTAGGATGTTGCACATGTAGGTATTTGGTCATTACAATTGTTCTTAAAACTATATTTATGTTTGTTAGGTAATAAAAATCCGTTTTTTCCTGAACAGTTTGACAAAAAGATGCTTTATGTTAAAATGGGTCTCGTAAAAGCAGACCTCTGCAGAGAGCAAACTTCAGATTTTGATATAACATTGATGAATTTAATGGACGCTAATCTCGTAAAAGCAGATCCCCCATCAGAGCTGATTACATAGTATGATGAAAACTTGTGTTTATGGTAAAATGTATTTAGTTTTTTGTCTGGCTCTATTTCATTATCAACCAATTTGAAACTTTATTACAAATTGGTTTCAAAAAAAATTTCTTCAAATATATACTGTAATGAAATATATTTTTAATGGAATGTATAGTAATTATAAATATTCTTGTCCAACATGCAAAAGATTAAATTCTGAAAAATTGCAACAGCAAATAGTCTGTATTTAAAGCTGATATTAATTTATAGTTTTTGTTAAAGATACATCTGAATATGTTGCACTCCTACACAGAGAAGATGGATTCATGGCATATAGGAAGAGTCAACATGTAAGTATTTGGTCATTACAATTGTACTTAAAACTATGTTAATATTTGGAAGTCAATAAAAATCTGTTTTCACTGAAACAATAGCTTAAAATTATATTACAAATTGGTCTAAAATATCTTTTATTTGAATTTCAAATGTGGTATATTTTAATAAGAATGAAAGAGTAGTTGTAAATTAAGTGTCCGTAATTTAAAATTTGACATAAAACATGAATCACATTAATTTTTTATTTTTTTCAACAGCCATTAAATATTCTCTATCTAAAGCTGATGCTAATTTATATTTTTTCTTTTGTAACAGATACGGTCCAGATATGTTCCACTCCCACACAATGAAGATGGTTTCATGGTAGATGGCACATTAGGATGTTTAACGTGTAGGTATTTAGTCATTACAATTGTACTTTAGACTATGTTTATATGTGTTGGGTAATAAATACCAGTTTTCCCTGGAACAACAGCTTAAATAAAATTTTATTTCAAATTAGTGTACATATTTCTTTTGTTCAAATTTATAATCTAGTGAAGTAAATTTTAACATGAATGTGTAGTAATTGTAAATATTCTTGTGTCCAATTTAGGATTTAACATAAAATATGAGTGACATTTATTTTATAATTGTTGCAACAGCCAATAGTCTCTATTTGAAGCTGATACTAATTGATGATTTGGTTTTGTTATAGATACAGCCTAAATATGTTACACTCCTAGACAATGAAGATGGTTTCATGGTAGATTGATCACACATCTGGATACGTAGCATGTAGGTATTTGGTATTTTTAATTGTACTTTAAAAACTATGTTTATATGGTTTGCAGGTAACAAAAATCCGTTTTCCCTGGAACAGCAGCTTAAATTAGATTTGATTACAAATTGGTTTAAAATTTCTTTTCAAATTTATACTCTTATGAAGATTATGTTAATGATAATGTATAGAAATTGTTTATATACTTGTCTTCAAATTAGGATTTGTCATAAAAAATGCATCATATTAATTTTGAATTAATTGCAACAGCCAATAGTCTCTATTTGAAGTTGATACTAATTGATGATTTGGTTTTGTTATAGATACAGCCTAAATATGTTACACTCCTAGACAATGAAGATGCTTTCATGGTATATAGCACACGAAGAATCGTATCATGTAGGTATTTTGTCATTATAATTGTACTTTTAACTCTTTTTATATGTGTTGGGTAACAAAAATCAGTTTTCCCCTTGAACAACAATTTGAAATTTTATTACAAATTTGTCGAACATTTCTTTTATTCAAATATTTACTGTAATAAGTTAAGTAATTGTAAATATTCTAGACTAGTCTCCAATTTAGGATTTGGCATAAAACATGCATCACATTAATTTCTGAATTGATTGCAACAGCAAATATTCCCTATTTAAAGCTGAAACTAATTTAAAATTTTTGTTTTTATTACAGATACAGCCTAAATATGTTACACTCTTCGACAATGAATATGGTTTCATTGTAGATAGCACATTAGGATTAGTCACATGTAGGTATTTATTCATTACAATTTTTTTCTTTAAACTAGGTTTATTAGCTCACCTGGCCCCTTTGGTTTGGGCCAGGTGAGCTTTTCTCATCACTTGGCGTCCGTTGTCGTCGTCCGTTAATACAAAAATCTTCTCCTGAAACTACTGGGCAAAATTTAACCAAACTTGGCCACAATCATCACTAGGGTATCTAGTTTAAAAAATGTGTCCGATGACCCCGCCTGCCAACCAAGATGGCCGACATGGCTAAAAATAGAACAAGGGTAAAATGCAGTTTTTGGCTTATATCTCTGAAACTAAAGCATTTTTTTTTATCTGACAATGGGTAAAAATGTTGCTGCCCCTGAATTAGTAATTTTAAGGAAATTTTGCAGTTTTTTTGTTATCTTGAATATTATTATAGATAGAGATAAACTGTAAACAGCAATAATGTTCAGCAAAGGCAGATCTACAAATAAGTCAACATGACCAATATGGTCAATTGACCCCATAAGGAGTTATTGCCCTTTAAAGTCAAATTTAACAATTATTCGTAAATTTTTGTAGTCTGTTACAAAAATCTTCTCTCCTGAAACAACTGAGACAAATTTAACCAAACTTGGCCACAATCATCACTGGGGTATCTAGTTTAAAAAATGTGTCCGATGACTCTGCCTGCCAACAAACATGTCAGACATGGCTAAAAGTAGAACTTAGGGGGAAAATGCAGTTTTTGACTTATATCTCTGAACTAAAGCAAATGTATAACGGTTGCATTATTTCATGCATCATTGTAAATAAAAATATCAGGTGAGCAACACAGGCTCCTTGAAGCCTCTAGTATTTGTTAATTAAAAATCAGTTTTCACTGAAACAACAGATTGAAGCTTTAATAACAAATTGGTCTAAAATTTCTTTTATTCCTATTTATATCCTAATGAAGTATATTTTAATAAGAATGTATAGTTATTGTAAATATACGTCTCCAATTTAGGATTTGACATCAAACATGCATAACATTAATTTCTGAATTGATTGCAACAGCAAATAGCTTTGATTTTGAAGCTGAAACTAATTTAAAATATTTGTTTTTGTTAACAGATACAGCCTAAATATGTAAGACTCCTATACCATGAAAGATGCTTCCATTGCAGAGAGCACATTAGGATTAGTCACATGTAAGTATTTATTCATAACAATTGTTCTTAAAACTATGTTTATATTTGTTAGGTAATAAAAATCAGTTTTTCCTGGAACAACAGCTTGAAATGTTATTACAAATTGGTCCTACATTTCATTTATTGAAATATTCACTAATGAGATATATTTTAATAAGAATGTATAGTGATTGTAAAAATTCTTGTCTCCAATTCAAGATTTGACATACATCATGCATCACATTAATTTCTGAATTGATTGCAACAGCAAATAGTCTGGATTGAAAGCTGATATAAATGTATATTTTTTTGTTTTCATTACAGATACAGCCTAAATATGTAAGACTCCTATACCATGAAAGATGCTTTCATTGCAGATGCACATTAGGATAAGTCACATGTAGGTATTTGGTCATTACAATTTTCCTTGAAACTATATTTATACTTGTTAGGTAATAAAAATCAGTTTTTGCCTGAAACAACAGATTGAAGCTTTTTAACAAATTGGTCTAAAATTTCTTTCATTCAAATTTATACTCTAATGCTGAATATTTTAATAAGAATGTATAGTAATTGTAATTATATACTTTTCTCTAATTTGGGATTGAACATAAAACATGCATCACATTATTTTCTGAATTGATTGCAACAGCAAAAAGTCTGGATTTAAAGCAGAAACTAATTAATAATTTTTGTTTTTGTTACAGATTATACAGTCTAAATATGTAACACTCCTATACCATGAAAGATGCTTTCACACATTAGGATGTTGCACATGTAGGTATTTGGTCATTACAATTGTTCTTAAAACTATATTTATGTTTGTTAGGTAATAAAAATCCGTTTTTTCCTGAACAGTTTGACAAAAAGATGCTTTATGTTAAAATGGGTCTCGTAAAAGCAGACCTCTGCAGAGAGCAAACTTCAGATTTTGATATAACATTGATGAATTTAATGGACGCTAATCTCGTAAAAGCAGATCCCCCATCAGAGCTGATTACATAGTATGATGAAAACTTGTGTTTATGGTAAAATGTATTTAGTTTTTTGTCTGGCTCTATTTCATTATCAACCAATTTGAAACTTTATTACAAATTGGTTTCAAAAAAAATTTCTTCAAATATATACTGTAATGAAATATATTTTTAATGGAATGTTGATAATTATAAATATTCTTGTCCAACATGCAAAAGATTAAATTCTGAAAAATTGCAACAGCAAATAGTCTGTATTTAAAGCTGATATTAATTTATAGTTTTTGTTAAAGATACATCTGAATATGTTGCACTCCTACACAGAGAAGATGGATTCATGGCATATAGGAAGAGTCAACATGTAAGTATTTGGTCATTACAATTGTACTTAAAACTATGTTAATATTTGGAAGTCAATAAAAATCTGTTTTCACTGAAACAATAGCTTAAAATTATATTACAAATTGGTCTAAAATATCTTTTATTCGAATTTCAAATGTGGTATATTTTAATAAGAATGAAAGAGTAGTTGTAAATTAAGTGTCCGTAATTTAAAATTTGACATAAAACATGAATCACATTAATTTTTTATTTTTTTCAACAGCCATTAAATATTCTCTATCTAAAGCTGATGCTAATTTATATTTTTTCTTTTGTAACAGATACGGTCCAGATATGTTCCACTCCCACACAATGAAGATGGTTTCATGGTAGATGGCACATTAGGATGTTTAACGTGTAGGTATTTAGTCATTACAATTGTACTTTAGACTATGTTTATATGTGTTGGGTAATAAATACCAGTTTTCCCTGGAACAACAGCTTAAATAAAATTTTATTTCAAATTAGTGTACATATTTCTTTTGTTCAAATTTATAATCTAGTGAAGTAAATTTTAACATGAATGTGTAGTAATTGTAAATATTCTTGTGTCCAATTTAGGATTTAACATAAAATATGAGTGACATTTATTTTATAATTGTTGCAACAGCCAATAGTCTCTATTTGAAGCTGATACTAATTGATGATTTGGTTTTGTTATAGATACAGCCTAAATATGTTACACTCCTAGACAATGAAGATGGTTTCATGGTAGATTGATCACACATCTGGATACGTAGCATGTAGGTATTTGGTATTTTTAATTGTACTTTAAAAACTATGTTTATATGGTTTGCAGGTAACAAAAATCCGTTTTCCCTGGAACAGCAGCTTAAATTAGATTTGATTACAAATTGGTTTAAAATTTCTTTTCAAATTTATACTCTTATGAAGATTATGTTAATGATAATGTATAGAAATTGTTTATATACTTGTCTTCAAATTAGGATTTGTCATAAAAAATGCATCATATTAATTTTGAATTAATTGCAACAGCCAATAGTCTCTATTTGAAGTTGATACTAATTGATGATTTGGTTTTGTTATAGATACAGCCTAAATATGTTACACTCCTAGACAATGAAGATGCTTTCATGGTATATAGCACACGAAGAATCGTATCATGTAGGTATTTTGTCATTATAATTGTACTTTTAACTCTTTTTATATGTGTTGGGTAACAAAAATCAGTTTTCCCCTTGAACAACAATTTGAAATTTTATTACAAATTTGTCGAACATTTCTTTTATTCAAATATTTACTGTAATAAGTTAAGTAATTGTAAATATTCTAGACTAGTCTCCAATTTAGGATTTGGCATAAAACATGCATCACATTAATTTCTGAATTGATTGCAACAGCAAATATTCCCTATTTAAAGCTGAAACTAATTTACAATTTTTGTTTTTAATACAGATACAGCCTAAATATGTTACACTCTTCGACAATGAATATGGTTTCATTGTAGATAGCACATTAGGATTAGTCACATGTAGGTATTTATTCATTACAATTTTTTTCTTTAAACTAGGTTTATTAGCTCACCTGGCCCCTTTGGTTTGGGCCAGGTGAGCTTTTCTCATCACTTGGCGTCCGTTGTCGTCGTCCGTTAATACAAAAATCTTTTCCTGAAACTACTGGGCAAAATTTAACCAAACTTGGCCACAATCATCACTAGGGTATCTAGTTTAAAAAATGTGTCCGATGACCCCGCCTGCCAACCAAGATGGCCGACATGGCTAAAAATAGAACATAGGGGTAAAATGCAGTTTTTGGCTTATATCTCTGAAACTAAAGCATTTAGAACAAATCTGACAATGGGTAAAAGTGTTTATCAGGTTAAGATCTATCTGCCCTGAAATTTTCAGATGAATCAGACAAGCTGTTGTTGGGTTGCTGCCCCTGAATTAGTAATTTTAAGGAAATTTTGCAGTTTTTTTGTTATCTTGAATATTATTATAGATAGAGATAAACTGTAAACAGCAATAATGTTCAGCAAAGGCAGATCTACAAATAAGTCAACATGACCAATATGGTCAATTGACCCCATAAGGAGTTATTGCCCTTTAAAGTCAAATTTAACAATTATTCGTAAATTTTTGTAGTCTGTTACAAAAATCTTCTCTCCTGAAACAACTGAGACAAATTTAACCAAACTTGGCCACAATCATCACTGGGGTATCTAGTTTAAAAAATGTGTCCGATGACTCTGCCTGCCAACAAACATGTCAGACATGGCTAAAAGTAGAACTTAGGGGGAAAATGCAGTTTTTGACATATATCTCTGAACTAAAGCAAATGTATAACGGTTGCATTATTTTATGCATCATTGTAAATAAAAATATCAGGTGAGCAACACAGGCTCCTTGAAGCCTCTAGTATTTGTTAGGCATTAAAAATCAGTTTTCACTGAAACAACAGATGGAAGCTTTATAACAAATTGGTCTAAAATTTCTTTTATTCCTATTTATATCCTAATGAAGTATATTTTAATAAGAATGTATAGTTATTGTAAATATACGTCTCCAATTTAGGATTTGACATCAAACATGCATAACATTAATTTCTGAATTGATTGCAACAGCAAATAGCTTTGATTTAGAAGCTGAAACTAATTTAAAATATTTGTTTTTGTTAACAGATACAGCCTAAATATGTAAGACTCCTATACCATGAAAGATGCTTCCATTGCAGAGAGCACATTAGGATTAGTCACATGTAAGTATTTATTCATAACAATTGTTCTTAAAACTATGTTTATATTTGTTAGGTAATAAAAATCAGTTTTTCCTGGAACAACAGCTTGAAATGTTATTACAAATTGGTCCTACATTTCATTTATTGAAATATTCACTAATGAGATATATTTTAATAAGAATGTATAGTGATTGTAAAAATTCTTGTCTCCAATTCAAGATTTGACATACATCATGCATCACATTAATTTCTGAATTGATTGCAACAGCAAATAGTCTGGATTGAAAGCTGATATAAATGTATATTTTTTTGTTTTCATTACAGATACAGCCTAAATATGTAAGACTCCTATACCATGAAAGATGCTTTCATTGCAGATGCACATTAGGATAAGTCACATGTAGGTATTTGGTCATTACAATTTTCCTTGAAACTATATTTATACTTGTTAGGTAATAAAAAACATTTTTTGCCTGAAACAACAGATTGAAGCTTTTTAACAAATTGGTCTAAAATTTCTTTCATTCAAATTTATACTCTAATGCTGAATATTTTAATAAGAATGTATAGTAATTGTAATTATATACTTTTCTCTAATTTGGGATTGAACATAAAACATGCATCACATTATTTTCTGAATTGATTGCAACAGCAAAAAGTCTGGATTTAAAGCAGAAACTAATTAATAATTTTTGTTTTTGTTACAGATTATACAGTCTAAATATGTAACACTCCTATACCATGAAAGATGCTTTCACACATTAGGATGTTGCACATGTAGGTATTTGGTCATTACAATTGTTCTTAAAACTATATTTATGTTTGTTAGGTAATAAAAATCCGTTTTTTCCTGAACAGTTTGACAAAAAGATGCTTTATGTTAAAATGGGTCTCGTAAAAGCAGACCTCTGCAGAGAGCAAACTTCAGATTTTGATATAACATTGATGAATTTAATGGACGCTAATCTCGTAAAAGCAGATCCCCCATCAGAGCTGATTACATAGTATGATGAAAACTTGTGTTTATGGTAAAATGTATTTAGTTTTTTGTCTGGCTCTATTTCATTATCAACCAATTTGAAACTTTATTACAAATTGGTTTCAAAAAAAATTTCTTCAAATATATACTGTAATGAAATATATTTTTAATGGAATGTATAGTAATTATAAATATTCTTGTCCAACATGCAAAAGATTAAATTCTGAAAAATTGCAACAGCAAATAGTCTGTATTTAAAGCTGATATTAATTTATAGTTTTTGTTAAAGATACATCTGAATATGTTGCACTCCTACACAGAGAAGATGGATTCATGGCATATAGGAAGAGTCAACATGTAAGTATTTGGTCATTACAATTGTACTTAAAACTATGTTAATATTTGGAAGTCAATAAAAATCTGTTTTCACTGAAACAATAGCTTAAAATTATATTACAAATTGGTCTAAAATATCTTTTATTCGAATTTCAAATGTGGTATATTTTAATAAGAATGAAAGAGTAGTTGTAAATTAAGTGTCCGTAATTTAAAATTTGACATAAAACATGAATCACATTAATTTTTTATTTTTTTCAACAGCCATTAAATATTCTCTATCTAAAGCTGATGCTAATTTATATTTTTTCTTTTGTAACAGATACGGTCCAGATATGTTCCACTCCCACACAATGAAGATGGTTTCATGGTAGATGGCACATTAGGATGTTTAACGTGTAGGTATTTAGTCATTACAATTGTACTTTAGACTATGTTTATATGTGTTGGGTAATAAATACCAGTTTTCCCTGGAACAACAGCTTAAATAAAATTTTATTTCAAATTAGTGTACATATTTCTTTTGTTCAAATTTATAATCTAGTGAAGTAAATTTTAACATGAATGTGTAGTAATTGTAAATATTCTTGTGTCCAATTTAGGATTTAACATAAAATATGAGTGACATTTATTTTATAATTGTTGCAACAGCCAATAGTCTCTATTTGAAGCTGATACTAATTGATGATTTGGTTTTGTTATAGATACAGCCTAAATATGTTACACTCCTAGACAATGAAGATGGTTTCATGGTAGATTGATCACACATCTGGATACGTAGCATGTAGGTATTTGGTATTTTTAATTGTACTTTAAAAACTATGTTTATATGGTTTGCAGGTAACAAAAATCCGTTTTCCCTGGAACAGCAGCTTAAATTAGATTTGATTACAAATTGGTTTAAAATTTCTTTTCAAATTTATACTCTTATGAAGATTATGTTAATGATAATGTATAGAAATTGTTTATATACTTGTCTTCAAATTAGGATTTGTCATAAAAAATGCATCATATTAATTTTGAATTAATTGCAACAGCCAATAGTCTCTATTTGAAGTTGATACTAATTGATGATTTGGTTTTGTTATAGATACAGCCTAAATATGTTACACTCCTAGACAATGAAGATGCTTTCATGGTATATAGCACACGAAGAATCGTATCATGTAGGTATTTTGTCATTATAATTGTACTTTTAACTCTTTTTATATGTGTTGGGTAACAAAAATCAGTTTTCCCCTTGAACAACAATTTGAAATTTTATTACAAATTTGTCGAACATTTCTTTTATTCAAATATTTACTGTAATAAGTTAAGTAATTGTAAATATTCTAGACTAGTCTCCAATTTAGGATTTGGCATAAAACATGCATCACATTAATTTCTGAATTGATTGCAACAGCAAATATTCCCTATTTAAAGCTGAAACTAATTTAAAATTTTTGTTTTTATTACAGATACAGCCTAAATATGTTACACTCTTCGACAATGAATATGGTTTCATTGTAGATAGCACATTAGGATTAGTCACATGTAGGTATTTATTCATTACAATTTTTTTCTTTAAACTAGGTTTATTAGCTCACCTGGCCCCTTTGGTTTGGGCCAGGTGAGCTTTTCTCATCACTTGGCGTCCGTTGTCGTCGTCCGTTAATACAAAAATCTTCTCCTGAAACTACTGGGCAAAATTTAACCAAACTTGGCCACAATCATCACTAGGGTATCTAGTTTAAAAAATGTGTCCGATGACCCCGCCTGCCAACCAAGATGGCCGACATGGCTAAAAATAGAACATAGGGGTAAAATGCAGTTTTTGGCTTATATCTCTGAAACTAAAGCATTTAGAACAAATCTGACAATGGGTAAAAATGTTTATCAGGTAAAGATCTATCTGCCCTGAAATTTTCAGATGAATCAGACAAGCTGTTGTTGGGTTGCTGCCCCTGAATTAGTAATTTTAAGGAAATTTTGCAGTTTTTTTTGTTATCTTGAATATTATTATAGATAGAGATAAACTGTAAACAGCAATAATGTTCAGCAAAGGCAGATCTACAAATAAGTCAACATGACCAATATGGTCAATTGACCCCATAAGGAGTTATTGCCCTTTAAAGTCAAATTTAACAATTATTCGTAAATTTTTGTAGTCTGTTACAAAAATCTTCTCTCCTGAAACAACTGAGACAAATTTAACCAAACTTGGCCACAATCATCACTGGGGTATCTAGTTTAAAAAATGTGTCCGATGACTCTGCCTGCCAACAAAAATGTCAGACATGGCTAAAAGTAGAACTTAGGGGGAAAATGCAGTTTTTGACTTATATCTCTGAACTAAAGCAAATGTATAACGGTTGCATTATTTCATGCATCATTGTAAATAAAAATATCAGGTGAGCAACACAGGCTCCTTGAAGCCGCTAGTATTTGTTAGGCATTAAAAATCAGTTTTCACTGAAACAACAGATTGAAGCTTTATAACAAATTGGTCTAAAATTTCTTTTATTCCTATTTATATCCTAATGAAGTATATTTTAATAAGAATGTATAGTTATTGTAAATATACGTCTCCAATTTAGGATTTGACATCAAACATGCATAACATTAATTTCTGAATTGATTGCAACAGCAAATAGCTTTGATTTTGAAGCTGAAACTAATTTAAAATATTTGTTTTTGTTAACAGATACAGCCTCAATATGTAAGACTCCTATACCATGAAAGATGCTTCCATTGCAGAGAGCACATTAGGATTAGTCACATGTAAGTATTTATTCATAACAATTGTTCTTAAAACTATGTTTATATTTGTTAGGTAATAAAAATCAGTTTTTTCTGGAACAACAGCTTGAAATGTTATTACAAATTGGTCCTACATTTCATTTATTGAAATATTCACTAATGAGATATATTTTAATAAGAATGTATAGTGATTGTAAAAATTCTTGTCTCCAATTAAGGATTTGACATACATCATGCATCACATTAATTTCTGAATTGATTGCAACAGCAAATAGTCTGGATTGAAAGCTGATATAAATGTATATTTTTTTGTTTTCATTACAGATACAGCCTAAATATGTAAGACTCCTATACCATGAAAGATGCTTCCATTACAGATGCACATTAGGATAAGTCACATGTAGGTATTTGGTCATTACAATTTTCCTTAAAACTATATTTATACTTGTTAGGTAATAAAAATCAGTTTTTTCCTGAAACAACAGATTGAAGCTTTTTAACAAATTGGTCTAAAATTTCTTTCATTCAAATTTATACTCTAATGCTGAATATTTTAATAAGAATGTATAGTAATTGTAATTATATACTTTTCTCTAATTTGGGATTGAACATAAAACATGCATCACATTATTTTCTGAATTGATTGCAACAGCAAAAAGTCTGGATTTAAAGCTGAAACTAATTAATAATTTTTTTTTTTGTTACAGATTATACAGCCTAAATATGTAACACTCCTATACCATGAAAGATGCTTTCACACATTAGGATGTTGTACATGTAGGTATTTGGTCATTACAATTGTTCTTAAAACTATGTTTATATTTGTTAGGTAATAAAAATCAGTTTTTCTTGGAACAACAGCTTGAAATTTTATTACAAATTGGTCCTACATTTCATTTATTGAAATACTCACTGTAATGAGATATATTTTGATAAGAATGTATAGTGATTGTAAAAATTCTTGTCTCAAATTAAGGATTTGACATACAACATGCATCTCATTAATTTCTGAATTGATTGTTTTTTTTTACAGATGCAACTTATATGATGTTTCAGTAGTAGAAGGTGCAGCATGGCAGCAGAAGATGTTAAATTGAGAATCGTGAAGAGACAGTTTAATTCTTTAGAGAATAAATAAGATTATGGTTTATAGATTAAGATTATAAAAATCTCTAATGTTCAAAATATCAGATGAGAATTTGCCAAGTGTCCTCAATATGTCTACAATGATATAACAATCATAATTAAGCCAAAAGATCAATTGTTGGTTGTAATTAATGCCAGCTCTAAATAAGATCTAAAAATAGAAACTATCTTCAAATTTGACAAGTTACCATATCTACATATAAATAAATTAGAATAGTCTGTAAATATTCTGTATTTTCCTTTTTGCATCATCTTTTGAGTAACCAAATCAGAACACCCAATTTGGTGAAATACTTTTTCCTGTTATATCTGTCATTGCTTTTGTAAGATAAAAACAAAAATGTATATGCAGTTTTGTTAAATATATTTAAATTCAAAATTCAAAAAAAAAAATCAATTTCAAATTAACACAAACAAAATTGACTTTAACTTATGGTTTAGTTCATGCACCCTTTAATGTATATCTTAAAAGTTTTGTTGTGGACTAAGCAAATATCAAATTATCATTTCAGAAGTACATTTTGCTTGCATGGTATCATCTTCACTAACATTTAACATAGTGGGTTTCGGAGTTACTGAGGTAGTTCTTATTGAGGTGTTTGTTGTTTTTTTCTATAGAGGAATCAGTGGTTTCTATGTCTTCAGGATATGGTTTTGTCATTCAAAGGGAATTGTCAATGTAATTCTGAAATGATATACATTTGGTATTTTATTGTCATTGAAAAAGAAACAATATTAGTGCATGAACATTTGAACTGTGAATATATAATATTTAAACTTTATAATTTATAATTTTAAATCGATTTTGGAAAGTTATTGTATCAAAATTAAATTGAATTTGACAGTTTGATGGATGGAAATTGAAAATTAGAAATTTATGTTCTAAATTTAAGCACAAGTGAAAACAAAATTCAAAATATAAATTTCTGCTTCATTAAAACATTTGGTCAAATGGATCTGCAAAATCACTGATAGCTAACACGGTTAATCCACTTAATTAGGTAGTGTCGTTAAGTATAGTGTAATGGATCCTGTTGATATCCTATTAAAAGTATTGATGTATTATAAATCATATTCCTAAATCTAACATGTCAGAAGCGAGAGACCCCCCCCTTTGTTATAGAGGGATCGCCCTTGCATCAGTGTCTTACAAATTGTACTGTAATATACTGAACTATAGATTAGCTCAGTGGGTAGATGATAACAATGTACTGGTTAAGGAACAGAATGGTTTACCGCAACTTTGTAGTACAATAGACCAATTATCTACGCTTACTAATTTGATAGATGTGTGAAAAACACTTCCTTAATCAATCTTTTGCGCCTTTATTGATTTTAAAAAGGCTTACGACACTACAAAGGGATATTTTATGGTATAAACTAAAAAAAAATTGGTGTTACACAGACTTTTGTTCTGCTATTAAGTCAATTTATACAAATGTTCTGTAAGAAAAAAACGGTCATTTCACAGACTGGTTTGATGTAAACACTGGCTTGAAACAAGGATGTCCCTTGTCGCTCATTTTGTTCAACTTGTATATTAATGATTACCATTTTTCAAGTCCTTTGACTGCGGAATAGAAATTGGTGATGAAAAACTGTATTTTATTATATGCTGATGATGTTGTTATTATAGCAAACGATGAAAAAGAGCTACAACTTTTGGTAAATGCTTTTTCTACATGATTTGAAGACAATTGAATGACAATTGATACAAACAAGAGTAACATTGTACAATTTAGACCACCATCTATACCTAGATATGATGTAATTTTTAATTGTAATGATCATACTATAAAGTCTTCTAGTAATGATACTTGGTCTCGTTTTAAACAAGCATTTAGACTATAATATCACTGCAAAAGCCGTTGCATCTTAAGCGAATAGAGCTTTAGGGATGGTAATAGCCAAGTGTAAACTTTTAGGGGGTGTTTGTTTCGATGTATTTGTAAAATTATATGAAAGTTTGGTTTGTCCTATAATAGAATATGAAAAGGTATATGGGGTGTAAAAAGATATTCTTGTATGAATTCCTTACATAATGGGGCCTATAGATTTTCTAGAAGTAGAAAAATATGTACCAAACGCTGCAGTTACTGGAGACTTGGGTATTATTGTATTATACGTTGATAATTTTATTTTATATTGCATTTTGATTTGTCAATACACATATGTTTTATGGTGTAGGTCAGAGCACCTGACCCTGGAGACGGGATTGCGCACTTGGCATCCACTGACACAGGTTTCTAGAGCTTTTTGATCGATTATATCGTTTTTTATCTCTAGTTGTTCCTGGCCGGCCTTGACTGTCTATGAAGGGGTACATTTAGTCAAAAGTTGGTTTTGGTGTATTTAGGAAAATCATGGAAGTATTATATTTTACTTCCATGGGATAATATATACATAGGAATTGTATGATTTTGAATTATATATGCATAGCAACAATAAAGATTTATTGAATTTGTGAATATTTATAATACAATCTGGCGTCCATCGAGCATGACGGGCTGTCCGCAAACTAAGATTATGTTTGCATTGTTTATATTTGGCACAAGTATGTAGTTAATACCACCTATTTTTGATAAGCAGTGGAAAAGTATTATTAGTTTGTGGTGTAGATTAAATCACATGAGCTAAGGTCGGATAAATGCAAAAGTTCATTAGTGAGCTGATAAAATGAGTATTAAGCATAAGTGTGCTGAAAACTGGAACTTTTTAGTAAGGAAAACCTTCTCTGAACTGAATTCAAGTCATTTATCGCGCCCTGAAAATATGGACACTAATTATGTTGTTAAACTTTTAATGTCAAAATGAATTTCAGTCACAGAAGTGCTTTTCTCAAATATAGATGTGGTGTTGCTCCACTAAGGATTTAAACTGGGAAATATGAAAATATTGTTTTAGCTTGTGCCATATATGTTATAGTTTTATTGAAGACAAAGCACATGTTTTATTAAGATGTCCTCTTTATGAAGATTTTAGAAACCATTTATATTATGTTGCTGAAACTTATAATGAAAATTTTAATACTTTAGATGATAACCAAAAGTTTGTGTTTTTATTCTCAGATGTGTTATTCTCAGATGTAAATATGATACATGTGTTCGAAAACCTGTTATTTGATTTTAAAAAGGCGTTGAAATTTTATATATGGAAAATACATGTAGTACTTTATTTCATATTGTTTAATGTATTATATCTATGCATTTTAATAGTCTTATTGTTCTGTATAGAATGGTTCATTTTATTTAGTGTTGTTTTACAATGTATAAATATCTATTGTAATTGTTGAGTATGACGCATTCATAAAACATTGAATTAATTGAATTGAGTTTGTTAGTATTACAATCAATATTTGTGTATGCCTCGCACAAAAAGGTGCAAGCAGGGCCGTACTGGACATCTTCAGTTATCAAGGTTTTTTTTTTTATAACAAACACACTGAGATCTGGTATCCAGGAAATTAAAATGAATCAACAATACTTTCATGTATTTTGTACAATAATATTTTTTCTAATTACACCTTACTCATGATGCAGATCTGTCTTCGTCTAATACTATGATGATGTACTACAGTGGCATAAAAGTAGTTACGATAGGTTTAGGAAGTGTCATTTTGGTATTTATCATGATGCATTAGAATTAAATTTCCCCATGTTTCAAGGAATAACATTGAAAAATAATTTATAAGCCTACACTTCTGGCCAGCAGTCTGTTTTAAATAGTAAGGATTTCTGTAAAACTGTTCAGGTATACCTCCTTAGACAATCTTCCTAGCATTGGGTATTGGAATTTTTCAATTTTTTACCCACTACATTTTCAGTTTTTTGTTGGTTGTTCTATGTCTGCGGGGTCGTCGATGATAGAATTTTTGCTATTATTTGATATTTCACATAAAATACAATGTAAGAGCATTTCACCAATTATAAATGCTACGATTTTCTTTATGTATTTATGCTTATCCTTGTATGCATGTTTATTGTTTTAATGAAGATAAAATCCGATGTCCAGGTTATCGGCAATATGAATATATTATTTGTTTTGTTTAAGCCTAAATATTTGGAAAGATTCGTAAATGAAATTTTTGTTTTTGTTTTGACAAAACTTATGTTACAGCTATTTAACCCCTTCCATGGTGATGCACATGTTCATCCATCCCTTTGCCCTGTCTCAAGTTTGCTTTCCACTCCGATTAATTACAATTTGCCTAATGTCATGGACAACAATAAAATGTAGGTCAAGTTCGATTTTGTCTTAGTTACCTTAAGAGGTGTAATATTACCATTGTTTTCCCCCATTAGTCTTTGTTAAATTTGCACTCTTCTAAAAATTTATCTTTGTTCCAAATAAAGAAATACTTGGCTTTAATCAAGTTTTATTCTTTCTAGCTGTATGGCTACAGACAAAATTTCAAATAACATGTCATTGCATATAGGATGATTACCATCGCTGGAAGTTCACCAATCAAATGTTCTCCCCTTTTTTCCTGCGTACAAGCTTTTGTAACCATGTAACGTTTCCTAAATAGTCTATAGAAACACCAAACCAGAGGCTCTAACGATCATGTGTCGCTCACCTGGTTCTACTTTGGTTGTGGAAATCATGTAAAAATAGATTAAAATCATAACAGATACCCTAATAATAATTGAGACCAAGTTTGCTACAAAGTAACACTTGGTCAGCACCTCATAAGGAACATTCATGCCATGTTTGGTTTCATTACATTCAGTGGTTCTTCAAAAGAAGACTTTTGTATGTATTTCACATAGGGTCCTTTGTTAAACTAAGTTCCCCGCTGGAAACCATCTTGGATAATTGATTGGCTACAAAGTAACAACACTTGGTCAGCGCCTCATTAGGAACATTCGTTTCATGTTTGGTTTCATTCCATTCAGTGTTTCTCTAAAAGAAAACGTGTGTATTGTCCATATGTTAAACGATGCCCCCCCCCCCCCCCCACTGGCGGCCATCTTGGATGATGGATCAGCTACAACGTAACAATGCTTGGTCAAAACCTCATAAGGAATATTCATGCAATGTTTGGTTTCGTTCCAATTAATGATCCTTAGAAGAAGTTCAAAATGTAAAAAGTTACGACGACGGACGAAGGACGCCAAGTGATGAGAAAAGCTCACTTGGCCTTTTAGGCCAGGTGAGCTAATAAAAAAAGAATGGTGCTTTGAAACACCCAAGCTGTGTTTATGACTCGGAATTTTTTTTTACTGCAATGAAATGTTGGATAAATTGCCTTCAACTGGCAAATTCAAGGGGATAATTTTTTCGAACCTTCTTCGTATGCAACCGGATGTGACGTACTATAATTTGGTGGTATTACACCTGTATTATGGGTTTCATATTTTTTATGATAATACTGCATGCTCACATCTTTTGAAACAAACACGGGTCTAGTTTGCTTTTGATACGGTTTTGACATTTATCCTTCAAAATACCTGCCTTGGAATTGCTTAATTGCTTAAAAACTCCATTTCTTTGCATTCTGGATGGTGATTCATGATAGTACCACTTGATCCAATCCTTAGAAACTTGTTCAGTTTCATTGATCATCGAGTACAGGTCAATGTCCACATAAATGGTTTTGACATTGACAGTACACTTTGACAGTACATTGAGTGTCCCTTAGTTACCTTATTTATTTATTCTCATCACTGTGTGCGTCGTTGTTAATTTCAGAAAAAATATCTCTGAAACTGCTAGGCCAAAATTAACCAAACTTGACCAAACTATTCATTGGGGTATCTAGTTGAGTGCTTTCCAACCAACATGGTCGACATGGCTTACAATAGAACATAGGTGTCAAATGCAAATGTGTTTTATCTTGAAAACTCTTAATAAACAGAGAAAATCTTCATTTTTGCCTTTTATCTTGAAAACTAAAATAAATAGAAACTTTAAAAGCAGAAAATACTAGCAAGATCTACAAATAGAAAAGTCAACATGGCTGAAGTTGTCTTGGCTATTTCCTATTTAAGTAATTGCGACCCTTTTCGGATGATTTTTACTGCATTTTGTGGGCGGTTTGTTAATATAGTAATACTCTTCACAGAGGTGAGAATATTTTTATTGCACCTTTTTGTATGTCCCAAATAGGGGGTATTGTTCTTTGAACCACAAAAATAAACCTTGTAGCCTCCAGTTTCCATAATTTTTAAATAGAAATAACCTTGTGTCCATTTGTTTCCGCCTGTATCCTTTGTTTCTTTAATTCTTAATAATATATGGAAATAGATTTGAGTCCACTTGTGTCCGCTATTTATATATAAAGAGGTAGGGCCAATTTCCCCTGAAATATTATCACAGAAGGGCCAATTTCAAAAAGTGCTGAAAGAACAAAATTTACGATAAAAACATGAAATAAAAATGTTTTTTGGTCAATATCTCGATTTTTATGTATTATGTTATTTCTGGAAAATAGTTAATTTATCCTCCAAAAAAGGATGAAAGTCAAATATGAGGAATTTACCGTATTTTTAGGTTGGAAAAACAGGGAATCCCCCTAGAAGGTCACTTCAAACCAAAACACAGTTATGTTTTTTGTTGTTGTTGTAATTTATACAACTTTTCCCCTCAAAAATGAAATTGGTTTATTGTGTCCTTAATACCTAAAAAACAACTTTTTTAACAAAAAGTGGAACATCGCTAAATTTTACCTATATAGATGCTAAATATCAAGTTTGATTTCAAGAGTCGCCGTGGCTCGATCGGTAGCGCTTAAAACTGTAAATAATGGATTGTTTTTAAGATGGGGTTCAAATCTTACGCTAATTTTTCTCATTTTTTATGTTGAAATATTAAAATGTTATGTTTCTATCACATTTTTTCGGATGTTTGTTTAATTCAAAGAGTCACACTGAAGTATGTGCTTACAAGTACATAACCAATAACACGAGAATTGATTATAAGCCCAAATGCTGTGTGTGTTATACACATAACGAAAAAAGGCCATAGCAGAAAAATTTCAAAACAACAAAAATATTTTTTCTATATCTTGAACAAGAACGTTTTAGAAAATGGTATGATTTGTAGAAAATGCAGACAATAATTTTATCGCCAATCCACCAACTGTGTAGATACTAGTTCTGGCATTGTTACATTGTACCACCGTCCCTACACCGGAACCTAAGTCATCAGAAAATGAAACAACACCACAAAAAAAAATCAATTACACTACCAATCGTGACTGTAGGTAAAACATTAAGAAAGTGTTGAATCTGTATCACAACATAGGGTCGATCCATTTGGTACAATGCCATGCAGAAAAGACCAGATTACATGTGTTTGTTACGCAAGCCGTTCTAGTATCAACTGGTGTAAGCTGTTGTCCGGTTCATATAGACGGTAAACCTTAAAAGCTGGAACAGTGTATAGATATAGATACATCCAGATTGAGGAAAACAACATCCCAGTTAAATGCGTCCGATATTTTTTGGCTTAATGGCATTAAAACAGAGACCGATCTTGAATTAGATTAGCTGATTTATATCAGATAATTAGATTATTAAATGTTTCTTGTATTTATATTCAACCCCCTTTTTTAGGCGCCACTTAGGGGCATTCAGTTTTTCGGTCTGTGCGTCCGTTCGTTCGTTTGTCCGTTCGTCCCTTCGTTCGTCCGTCTGTTCGTTCGTCCGTCTGTCCTGTTTCAGGTTAAAGTTTTTGGTCAAGGTAGTTTTGGATGAAGTGGAAGTCCAACCAACTTGAAACTTAGTACACTTGATCCCTATGGTATGATCTTTCTCATTTTAAGGCTAAATTACAGTTTCTATCCCAATTTCATAGTTCACTGAACATAGAAAATGATAGTACGAGTGGGGCATCCGTGTACTATGGACACATTCTTGTTTAATATTTTGTTAGTTTTAAGTTAAAAAAAAGCTGTGAAATACGTGTACGCTACAAATCACCTACAGACATTAACACGCTAACTGAAGCACCATGTTTTTTTTAATACAAAACTAATTTTGAATATCTATTAGTTGATACTTTATATCTTAATGCTCCTCAGGGGCATTTACAAACAAAATATTGGTTTTGATAAACAAAAAAAATCAATAGTCTTGGCCTTGATTATTGTAGGAATACCTGTTCAAGGTATGAAAATAGATGATGTGACGTGTTTTCATATACTTTAATTAGTATCTATCGGGCTACTTAAAAAATATGATTGAGCTAGCTACTAGTAATCAAATGAAAAAAACTCACGGGAAAATGGCCCTACCTCTTTATCGCGGTGTCTAGATTTGTACTTATTTGTTTACCCCACACATATACGTGTATCCTGGACACCAAATGCACGCTAACTATATTTTGCATCGAAAATAAGACATATCTAGCCATTCATTGCAAAGGATTTTAAAATTAGTGTATTCAGATTCTTTTCAAAGGTCAGTTTTATGCCTTTTCAATTTTCTATTTTAACAACGTTTGTTCGGTTTTAGTGGTTGAAAATGGGTTCCAAAACAGAACTTCTGTCAAAATTATAATTATTTGTTTATGCCTTTTCAATCCAATTGCGTAATGCGCGTGTTTTTAATCTTAAATTCTAATTCGTAAACTCAAACGAACATAAAATATTTATCAAATAACCACATACTCTCACATGGGAGACACCACTTGCAGAGACAAGCTCTCATTGTCGAGCCTTCGACATTTGTCGAAAAAGCGAGACATAGACGTTGCGCACGATGTTGGTACGAATTCCATTTTGCTATAGATTAGCATGAAAATAAATACGTAGACTGGTCAGTTCGATAAAAATATAGTGATTTTTGGTTGAATTTATTACATTAGACTTAAAAATAAAGAAAAAAGGAACCGAAATTTAAAATATCAAGAACAAGAAATGATTGTAACAGGATGCTGTTACGAAGTCTCCCAAACGAAGCTCCCATAATTCGTAATTCCCAGGGTCGCCTGACATTGGGCAAAGTCCAGTGAAAATTGGTTTGGTCCAGTAAAGTTATATGCATTAGTGATGCCTGGGGACTAACCCTGTATATCATTCAAATAA